GAAGATGTAAACAATGTTTGGTTAAATCATCAACTTTAAGAATATTTTTTTTTAGATTCAACAAGAATTTAAAAGGATTTGATTCTAATTTATTGAATTGTAAGATGTTTAACTTCTTTGAATTTTTTTTAACCATTGCCTTAATTTTGGTTCACTGAAACAGTCATGGTAATAAACTAATATGATTCAAGTTTGTCTTGGTACATGGTAATAATCTACTAATACAGTAGTGCTTAGACAATACTAAGCAAGAGTTTACTTTCCACTATTCACGTTTCACACATTTCTGTTCAATTACTACACCTAGGGTAACTTGCACATCTTTCTAAATATGTCTAAGAAATTGCAAAAGAAAAATTTAATTTACTAGCAATGAGAGTAGCTAAGAATTGTGAACAAAAAATGACTTGAAACATTTTTTTTTTTTGTTCAAAACTATTTCACATTCACTTTATATAAAACAAATTATCTTCACGACCAGGTAATCTATCTAGCTCTCTCATTAAGTAAACTGCAGCATGCATTTCAATGTCTACTTCCCAAAATACAAAAGCATTTTAAGGAAGGTTATATTACTAAAAGAAAAATTAATGAAAAATATTAAAGATATTTTGAATGCTAAAAATATAACTATATCAGTGTGGAATATTTTAACAAATACAGCTACATCTCAAAACTGCTTTAAAGGATAATGACAAAAAAAGTTAGTAATCCAGCAAGTCACTAGTCTCTTCAAACAACTTTGAGAAATGTAATTGAATTAACAAAGGGTCTAATGTCCCAAAATTCAAAATCATATATTCCAAAAAATCTCGACACAATGTTTCCGAAAATTCATCTAATAACATCCATAGAATAGTCAGTAAACAAGGCCCATATACACTATGTGATCAAAAGTATCCTGACACATGGTTGAAAATTACTTACAGTTCTTGGCACCCTCCATCGGTAATGCTGGAATTCAATAGGGTGTTGGCCCACCATTAGACTTGATGACAGCTTCCATTCTGAACAGGTGCCTGTTGAAAGATGTAATCGCCACCCCAAATTAATCTTCAACAGTGGGAAGCTAGGTGTCGAGAAAAAATCAATGTAGGCATGGGACGTGATAGTGCACACAAACAACAAGGGGTGCGAGCCCCCACCATGAAAAACACCATAAAACCATTTTGGACGTGTCCGGATACTTTTGATCACATAGTTATATTTGGCTGGTTAAGATCAATTTTCCAGATTGTTTATTAATCACCTGTGCCTATACCTTTACATACCCATTAACTCACATTTTCATTGTTTTAAAGCGTTGGAAAATTTTCAATGCGGTAAAAACTAAGTCACTTTTAAAAGTGTGTATAGGAATTATAGTGGTTAATTTGAGTTAGAAGTAAATTCATTTATACCAATGCTTCATGCTGAAGTTTGTGACAAAAAAATCTAGACAAGAATTCAATATTTTTTATTTCAAGGGAGCCAGCAGTTTTCAAATTTAAAAGTTGATCCATTTATCCAGAAAATCAAAATATTATTTTTTAATTAACATTTAGATCCTTTTAAAAAAAATCTTGTTATATGAAATCCATCATGAACCCTGTTATATGAAAGAAACAGGGATGACAATGCAGAATGTCACCAATTTCCACTACCTAATCTGAAGCTTCTTTGCAAATCAAAGGTATTACTAATGTATTCCTGTTTATTCCTTCATTTGGGTGATTCCACGTCATATCGCACAAATTTAAGGAAAATTTGACCTTGATGTCTCAGATTTTAAAACTTGTTTCTGTGAAAAGTAAAAATAAAAAAACGTGTTTTTCATTTTTTCCCAAATATATTTCGAGATTATATGAATTTTCGAATATATGCTCGCATTGGCAAAGTTAATCATTTTTAATTCGTGTTGTAATTGTGACTTAAATATGTTCTTTTGCTACATTAAAGAACAAAAGATGCTCTTTCATTTGATGTATGTATTAAATTCATTACATTAAAAAAAATTTTTTTCGACCTATTTTATTTTTAATTTCTCCCAAAATTAAACAGTTTAAAAATTGTAAAATATACCATTGTTATCTCTGAAAAGTTCTAAATAATTTTTGTAAGTTACAAAGTGGGACATAGAGATGATTCTGAGAAATTAAATACAATAAAAATGTCTGCTTACTGTTGCTTCTGCGGCTGCTAGAGTGTCACCCCTCAAGCCAATCAGCAGTAGACGATTACCATCAATATGCTTTCACAGATCAATAAATAGAAATAACCCTCCTCATCTTACTATGTGGATATACATACATACGACTTTCTCAGCCGATTAAATTCAAAATAAAATAGTGGTACTAAAACAGCACGTACTTTCTCGCCCGCTCAAATCTTCAAAAAATTCATTCAAGTGCTCAAATCTTTGAAAAATTGTACATGACCTTATTTCAATATCTCTCTCTCTAATAAAAAGATTTCATCAAGGAAAATATCCATATCATTAATATTGTACATGCAGGATGACAAAAATAATTCAAACTTTTACAATTTTCGAAAAATTAGGGTTTTAACCGAACATCAGACTTGCACCATTCTCTTAAACGTCCTTTACACTATCCGACAACAAAAGTTAATTTAAATCAACGGAACAATTTCTTTGAAAATGTGGAAAATGTCCCAGGGGCTTCATGTAAAGTACCCCCCAAAATTAAAATTTCGGTTTCAAATCCAAGGGGCCGCGATACCAGCCACATCGATTGGGGAATATCAATTTTGGAGAAAATCAGCTGAACGGTTTAGCAGCTAGTGTTGTTCACAGACCGTCAGATGGACGGACGGGCAAAAAGACGTTTTGCCGTCATTCGATTTTTCGGTATCAAGGATCCACAAACCATGGATTCTACCTGCACTGTGTGTTAGAGGATCTTTTTCTAAATTTAAAAACTGGTTTTATCCACTTTTTCGATGTCAGGGCCCTGCAATATGAGTTAACTGCCGTTTTTCGCGCAGCATTACATAACATTATATCTACTCCGTAGCGAGGAAGTAAAAATTAGAATATCCATGTTTATTTCTATTATGATTGTGGCATCATTCATTGAATGTACAATATGCCGTTTAAATTTATAATAACTAGAGACATTCTTAACACCGCGTATACTTGTGCCGTTCCGGTACCCGGAAATCACCAATGAGAGGCGAAATTGTATTATAATTGCATTTTTTAATTTAATATCTAATAATGAGTATATTTAGAAATACAATTACATGTGTATTGTATACAAATATATTCAGATAAGGTAAGGCCAAACGTTTTGAACATTTTCTACACTTGCCATCCTTTATGCAGGGACTCAAATGACCACGTCCTTTAATTGAAGAACAAATTCAATATATTTACTAAATTGCTCTCTCTCTCTCGCTCTCTTTTCACTATGATACCATACAACTAACATACAAATAGAATTGTATAATGACACAAAAATGCTCACCAGGAACACCTCAAGAACGAGTAATAACTAAATTATGCGTATACATTGTAACCACACGAAGTGTGTGGCTACCTCGACTCACCTGATTACCTGGTTACGGCGATTCAGCGTTGCCCCGGCTGCTCAATCCGTAGACTACGCGGAGGCTTGCGTGGCAGGGCTTATTCTCGTTCCTGTAATGCATTGAAGCACATGGTATTTTCAAAGGTAGATTTCATATTCCCTTTTTCATGAGGTGAAGCCTCCTGTTATAATCACTGCTTTCTACTAAGATCTTAAATTCGGGCCAGAGTTCATCCTTCCAAGTAGGGCGGCGCCCTTCCCGGCGGTCACGGCCCCGGTTACCGGAGCGGCGACCTTTCGCCCTGGTGCTTGGCACGGCGCGGTCAGGCGACGGCAGCGTCTCAGATCCACTGCCCATGTAACTAATTAACATCTTACTAATGTAAGGCGGTCGGGGTGGCAGGCGGCGAGGTGGCGTTCTGGGCGCTAGCAACGCCTGATCCGGGCATCAGTGGCGTAAATATCGGAGAAATTTCAAGTAAAAAAGACATTTTTCCCACTAATATTTATTTATTTTCTTTAAAATCAATCTTACAAGAGTATTGAAACCTCAGATTCATTGATTTTAATACATTCCTTAAAGCTTTGTATTTTTTCTGGAAAAAAAACAACAAAAAACTAACCATTGCATAGTACACTAACATATTCTGAGAAAATGTACACAAAATTTTAAAAATGCAAAAAATCTTATGTTCTTTACGTGCACGTTTTTATTGACACATATTTATAATAACTCAAATTGTGGAAGTCCTTTTGCATTTTCTATCAATATTTTTGTCGTAATGGTTCTATTTCATTTTCCTCCAAAACATTAATTAAAACAATACAATTCAGAATACTTCAAAATACATTAATTCGTCCTCAAAACTCACTTTAAATAGTACAACTCGCTCAATATAAATAGTACAACCCGAATCAGTCTTCTCTAGTGTCGAGTCTGATATTGTAATTAGTGAAACTCGTACTAAACATGATTTGGCTACCTCCTTTCTAAAGAATGAATTATGAAAACGAGTACTTTGAATAGCAAGTTGTGAAGCAAGCTAGCTCTCTCAAGTATGATAAAGTAAGTTTGTACTAAAAGATAAATTGCTAGAAACTCTTGATACACTCTGAATAATTGGAAGACATATTTGAGGGGAATTCACACTACAGTGAAATAACGTTTGTTGTTATTTTCATTTTAAAATTCATTTTAACAACAATTGACAAAACACAGTGTTTTACCTCTTTAAGTTCAGAACAGTCAATGGTTCAGTCAACTCATAACTGTATCTTGTAAAGTTCATTGTGACCATTTATTCATACATTTTAAAACTTTGTAACACCTTATACAACTCGGATACCAGTCACTTTAATATATTTTTTTCTGGTCGTATTTTTATCATTCTTTCACCCAACAACCGTCATTACGAAACATCCTATGAAATGGGAGGGAGAACAAATGCGGCGAGGTGACAACAAAAGGACCTAGTCGACAATCACTTTCCACAACACTGCGCTGCGACGCGTAGGCGATTTGGCCCCTTCCGGGGCAGCGGCGACGAGCGACGCCAGACGAGCTGCCAAGGAAGTGGAGCCAGCGGAGTTCGCGCGGCGGGCGGCGGCAGGGGCGTTGATGGATGCCACTTCCACGGGGGTCAGTTTAGAGGTACCCCCATCGTCACCGTTGCTGCTGGTGGAATTGGCTCCGACCGAAGACACGTCTTCACTGAAGGCAGGCTCAGAAGCAGATGTATAATTAGTTTTGAAGCCATCAACAGCACCTGTTGTAGAAGCGCCGGCTGTGACAGAGTCAGAATCCCCTTTTTCCGCTAGCTCTGGCTCGGACAACGTGTTGTAGACGACACCATCCACTTTGCAGTTGCTTGGCGATGCAGTTTTGTTTTTGTCAATAACAAATCCTTGGCTCGAATGAGTTCTATCGTCATCTACTTTATTGAATGCTCCTTCCTCTTGTTCCCCATCTGACAACACATCCACTCCATTCGAGGAATCGTTGTACAAATGGACAACTTCAATGAACTCGAATTTCCCAGACAATCCCTTTGAGATATTGGAAGAGTTTCCCATATGGATCAGTCCCCTTGTGTCAGCGGCAAAAGTAATATTTTGTGGAGAATACTCCACCTTTTCCACAAGTTCCACTGCAACAGCAATGCAAGCGTAGAAAAAGAACACGGTCCACAAAGCCATCATGATCAGAGGAACGCGACGTATAGGAAGACTGCTGCCTGCCGGTGGCATCTCTTCGGCTGTCGTCGCTGGGTCAATCGGCACGTTGTGCATCCTGCAGCTTCTTCGGTTGTAGCTCTCGAAGGCGAACGACCGCGATCGACGCACAGACGGGACTGGCGGCGCGCCGCTCGACTTGCCTTTATATACCCTTTGCTCTTTGATGACGTAAGCGTGATGTCACTCGATCGATCACTCGCACTGTGCGCAATGAAAGAAACAACGTAGATGATGAAGTATTATTTTGATTTTAATGTATATGAATTATTATTTTGGCGCGTCAATTGCTATGGTCATTATTACCGTAATTGTTGTGGTGTGGTGTGCGTTATATCCGGGAGGCGGTGGTATGTCCTTCTCAGCAGGGAGGTAAGATTTGGGGCCAAACGACCTTCCGACTTGCGGAGGTTTTCAGGTATCTCTCCCAGCCCAGTGAAGCTCCAACCTTGCGACTGGTCGTCCGACACGTGTGGTGGTATAGTGTACGTCAATGCAACCATATGTTTTGTGGAAGGGAGAGAAGACAAGGATGAGGAGGGAAATGTCGCCCTTCGCCCGTGGCCCGTTTGTGAAGGTACTGCTCCGGTATTCGTCTGGTGTTGATGGGAAATGCAAATCGGGAAAATGCAAATCAAAGCAGCCGCCCACAAAAATTTTTCGTTAGACGTCTGATTTCGATTTAGCAATCTAGGTGGTGTCGAAAATCGACCATAGACACGAACTCAATACCTAGGACCTTTCGGTCTGAAACGCAGCAGTGGCAACATGATGTTTCCTTCCTTAGGATTCTGTTCCGGTATTCGTCTGGTGTTGATCAGAGAAATTACGGAAAACTATCGATCAGAGCAGCCGGCCGCTAGAATTATTTTCCAGACAGCGGCTTAATTCGACCTAGCTGTGTAGCTAGTGTAGGAAACTCTGCCACTGTGGAGACTAGAACCTTAGGACCACCCGTCAGAGGTACTGAATGACTCAATTGACGCCTTGAGCCACCTAAGTCAGTGGGTGACATCAATATTTAATATGAGTGATACGCGTCCGTTTGTTTATCCGATTTTCCACACTTCTGTTTTCACCGTTAATCCGCCCGTCTGTCCGTCCGTCTGCCTGTTCGTCCGCCTGTTCGTCCGTCTGACCGTCCGACCGTCTGTCTGTCCGTCCCACCGTCTGTTTGTCCGTCTGACCGTCTGTCTGTCCGTCAGACCGTCTGTCTTCCGTCAGACCGTCTGTCTGTCCGTCAGACCGTCTGTCTGTCCGTCAGACCGTCTGTCTGTCCGTCCGCCCGTCATTCTGTCTGTCTGCCCGTCCAACAGTCTGTCCGTCCGTCACTGCATCCGTCCGCCCGCCCGTCTGTCCGTCTGGTAGCGTAACGAAATGAGTGCGGGCCCGCTCGCAAAACTTTTGTGCGAGCATCCTTTATAATAACGTATAGCAAACACAAGTAGTGTTAGTGCCTTAAATAATAAAAATGTCCTTCAAAAAATTCGAATTTATCAGCCTCTGATTAATAACCAATAGTAGAAAAATAAGTCTATTATTTAATTGTAAGAAATTAAGATTATTATAAAACCTAAATGAATTGCTCACTTTTATTGATTTAGAAACGGTTACAATAGTTACCGAAGAGGGAAAAAAATCATTATTGTGGAAAATGCTGTGTTTAATTTTTTATTGAATCAACTATCGTAAAGTTTCAGAGAAAGTATCAAGCAATTAATATTTCTTTCAATCGCAAAACCTTCAGGCTAAAAGTAGGCCATCTTTTACCTGGGATCGCCCGTGGCCTTGTGGGCCCCAACGTTATGCCTATGTCCGTCGATGATTTACGGTAGCATCTAAAATGTCCAGACGGTGCTCTTTAAAATTCGATCGATCGATCTACACGAACTCACTGCCATGTGACTATGAAATGGATATTTTGTTTGGGGACTTTTCATGAAGCTTCAACACCATTTTCCATTTTTTTTTTCAAAAATGAAACGAAATAAGTTTATACCCGGTCAGCGTAAACGACGCTTAAAAAATAATGCTGGCCTCATTTTTGTTAAAATCTCTGAATTTTGAGAATTCTCAAAGGTACATATTTTCTTCGGCGACATTCTACGACTACAATATTTAAGATAGAGATGTTTCCCCCATTGAATCATGTTCTTTAAAGATTGGTCTTTTAATAAGGTAGTGCACAATATTTCTTAAATATGGGTTGTATTCGAGTAATTTTCTTGAAATATTGATCATTTTAAAACAATTATTTTCGCAAAAGCGGTACCATTTTTAACTGTTTCCTTGTATGTAGCAAAATACGTTAACAAATTTATGCTGACGCCGTTCTCGGCAAAATGTCTCTATTTTCGGAAATCGCAAAAAATATTGAATGTTGATTAGAAAAGTAGAATTTTAATGATAGAGGATTTTAAACGTAATATACTTTAAAAATGTAATATTTAAAAAAAGTTCATGTACATTTTTTGAGAAAACGGGTAGTTTGTGCCTAATTTCTTATCGAAGTTATTGTAAATTATTTTAAAATCTCAAAAGCGGCTCCAATTTGGTATGAACGTTTTTCTTATTTGCGATTTATTATTCTTCTTACTTGCGATTTAGGCATCCAACTTGTTCCAACTTCCTCTATCCATCGCCTTAAGGACCTTCTTTGTGCTCTTATTCCATTGAAATCATATTGAGAACATGAAGGAATTCTTTTTCCAATCAATCTCAGGACATGAGCCAACAATTGTTCTTTGGATTTCTTCATTTGTCCCTTCCCTTACTTTTCACATCACGGTTCCTCCATTTCCAAAATAACAGAGAAGAATCCAGGTGAACAGAAATTTTACCAATACCAGTAATAAAGGTTCTGTATATCAATGCACATCTGTAAGAATCAAATACGTCATTCCGGAGAAATATCTCGAAACAGAACTTTTAATTGTGGAAATCCATATAAGAAACAAGTAATTTTTACGTTTTCGACATTATCTTTCGAAAGGGAAAGAAGAGTCAATCAATGGACTGAGCGGCGAATTTTTTTCCTCTTGATTAGCAACCGGGAATTTTTTGTTTCCTTATTAGAAAATCATGAAGTTTTCCTTTAGTTTCAATGTGCCTTTTCAAAAATATTCATATACATTACTTTTCCTATGCTTATTAATTGACCATTTTCCTCCCTGTATGGCTCTTTTGTGAGCACTATAAATAATGCATTTTCATTTTTTTCTTCCGTTCAAAGGACTATGTAAGACATAATATACACGTTAGGTACATTTTTTCTACCATACATTTATTGAATTGCAATTGGGTGGCAGTTAATCAACAACAACCACAACAATAATAATAACAAAGTACAATACAAAACGAGAATGCAATAGTCATACTATCACTAACTATAACAAACTATACTATAACTATATTATTATTTACTATACTATATTATTATTATTACTATACTATATTATTACAATTATTGCCAATCTACCATGATATACAACTTGTGATACTTTGGCGATACTACAAATCAATACGTGCTTCATAGATATCGGCTAAATTATATTTTTTTTAAAGACATTGTTCGCAGTTCCCTATACTTCACGGCACTGCACTACACTGTTTTGTTTTGAATTACACTGACCAGCACTTCACCACACTACACAGGTCTTAGCTACTCATTAAACATCTAATACTCTTAGCTAGTTCTAACTTCGGAAACTTAAAGGAAATAATGAAGGCTTTGAAAGTTGTTGTGGGTAAACTGTTCCAATCTCTAATTGCTCTGTTACAAAATGAAAATTTCCAAGATCTGAATTTTATTTTGTGAAGGAATTTTGTGGGTGTGATCGCTTCGGCCGAAATAATTTGTTTTTTCTGGCCTAATCTGCATTTCCTTCCAAGCTGGTCGACCTACTTATGATTTATAAAGTGAACAAAACCTCGCCCTTGTTATTATCGTTTCTAGAGGTTCCCATGATTTTTATTGCATTGGTTCTATAGATAAAATTCACTTTTCTCTCTATCTTTATTTTCCCGGTGCGACTTTCTAGAATCCCAACATGCTACTCTGTACTCATGAGAGGGCGAACCAGCGAAAGATACGCTAATTTTTGGAGTTTGTAGAACTTGTCTTTAGAATTCGCATTACAAAGTGCAAGGACTTCAACGTTTTCCTCACTACCTGAGTTATATGCTTCGTCCACTCTAATTGACTGTCTAATGACTTGCTAATGCTAGACGAATGCCTAAAAACTTGCATGATGAGACTCTTGGAAAGATGACCTCACCTGAACGATAGTCTGTTTCTTCACAATTTCTTCCCCGCCTGAACGTTATTGTTTTGCTTTTCGATCCATTAATTCCCATGTCATGTGTTTCAGGCCAATCACATAAATGTTCTAAATCCTATTGTAATATTTGTTCGTCAGCGATAACTTTGATTTTGCTGTATATAACGCAATCATCTGCAAATAAACGTATCTTTGATTGTATGTTAATATGGAGATAATTTACGACGCTAAGAAAAGTATTGGCACTAAATCACTTCCCTGTGGAACCCTTGAAGTAACAATACCCATCGTCAAAACTGAGTTCCAATTCGAACTTTTTGTTTCCTATCTCTAAGAAAGTCAGTTATCCACTTCACTACTCTAGCATCAACTCTTGAGTTTGTAATTTCATAATAAGAAGATAATACTGTCCTACGCGAAATGCTTTCGCAAAGTCAATTACGACTGCATCCACCCTTCCACCCGCGTCGATGTCGTCAGCTCACATCTTGAAAAAAAGAAACAATTTGGCTTTCGCACGAATATCCATTTCTAAACCCGCGCTGTCCGTGAAAAATCCAGAGTGCTTTTTTCCAATTCGCGGCGAATGTACCGGCTATGAAATACTCCATTATTTCTCATACTACTGATGTGAGAGATGGTAGTCAATAATTACGTACTTTCGTTTTACATTTTTGAAAATTGGAACGACTATATCTGTTTTCCAGTAAGACAAAGACCATCCATCTGTAACACAAAGACTGGAAAGGCTTTAGAGAACCGTCAAACAGGTTATGA